GCCAGTATTCGATTTTTGTTGAGAAAGCTTAATGGCTTACAAAAGACCTCTAGCCCATTACATTTTCTCCCTTTATCCAACAATCTATTCTCCAAAGCTCACTTCGACCTCCTCATTGTACGGCTGCTGCATAAGAGCTTTTTTTCTCGACATTTCTATGCGTCCTAAAAGAACGGTTCGTTCTCGGCCAACCAATGGATGTCAGTATACCCTTAACAATGAATGGAGCTGCAACACCTTCAACTCAAGTGAAGCGTTCACTCATGTTATCGAATGGAATTAGGCCGATACGACACCAATCCATGTGTGCTAAAGCCTAGGAAATTGATCAAGAAAGATTCATACAACTATTTGCTCAATATAAAAATTACTCCGTAGTAACTATGAATCTATGATCAGACTAAAGTGACTATTGGTAGGAGTTTTAAGCTAATATGATTTCAGCTGATATGATTTCAGTATAAAAATTAACTCAAGCTTACTACGAACATTTATGAAAACATATAATAATCATATATGGTTCCAAACGACATTTTATGACCCCAAGATGTATCCCCTTAAATCTCAAAAATTTTTGAAACCGGTCCTCGAAACATCCCAAATTTCTCAAAAAGCGTGGATTTCAATTTTGGAATTTTTTTGACTATTTTTCGCTCGCAAATAAAACCGAAATGTTTACCATGATCCCTTATACCCTCCGGGAGTCCAATTGGGTGGTGGAACCATCCAATTTGCTTTTAAACGGCCAATTTACCGGTTTACAACTTGTACCGATTTCATTAACTCAAGCCTACCACCAACATTTATAATAACATATAATGATCATTTATGGTATCAAACGATATTATATGACCCTAAAATGTATTCCCTTAAATTTCAAGACTTTTCGACACCAGGCCCCGAGACCTTCGAAATTTCTAAAAAAGCATGGATATTAGCCTTTAATTTCGGATTTTTTTGAATTTTATTCGCCCAGAAATAAAATATTTACGTAATGTTTACACCGGGTTGGGTGGAATCATCCAATTTGCCTTTAAACGGTCAATTTACCGATTTACAACTTGCACCGATTTCTTTAACTCAAGCCTACCATGTACATTTATGATAACAAATAATCATCATATATAGTTCCAAATGATATTATATGACCCTGAAATGTATTCCCTAAAATTTCAATACTTTTCGACAACGGGCCTTTAATTTTGGAATTTTCAGACTTTTTTCGCCCGGAAATAATAATTGCCGAAATGTTTACCATGGCCCCCAATATCCTTCGGGAGTCCAATTGGGTTGGTGGAACCATCCAATTTGCCTTTAAACGGCCAATTTAATTACCGGTTTACAATTTGCAGGAATTTCATTAACTCAAGCTTACTACGAACATTTATGACAACATATAATGATCATATATGGTTCCAAACTGCATTTTATGACCCCGAGATGTATCACCTAAAATATATATACTTTTCGACACCGGCCCCGAAATCTCCAAAAATTTTCAAAAAGCGTGGATATTAGCCTTCAATTTTGAATTTTTTGATTTTTTTTGCCCGGAAATAAAAATTGCCGAAATATTTACTATGGTCCCTAATACCCTCCGGTATTCCAATTGGGTGGGTGGAACCATCCAATTCCCCTTTAAACGACCAATTTACCGGTTTATAACTTGCATCGATTTCATTAATTCAAGTCTACCACGAACATTTATGACAACAATAATGATCATATATGGTTCCAAACGGCATTATATTACCCTGATATGTATCCCATAGAATTTCTAGACTTTTCGACACCGGGCCCAAAAACCTCTAAAATTTCTCAAAAAGCATGGATATTAACTTCAATTTTGGAATTTTTTGACTTTTTTTCGCCTGGAAATAAAAATTGATGAAATGTTTACTATGGTCCCTAATACCCTTTGGGAATCCAATTGGATGTGTGGAACCATTCAATTTGCTTTTAAACGACCAATTTACCGGTTTACAACTTGCACCGATTTACCGGTTTACAATGGCCAATTTAATTAACTTCCATCGAACTCGACTTGAACCGAAGACCAAAACCATTTTAACCCGTCAAAATCCGAATTCAACCCGAATTGTTATTAACATGACCTGAATTCAACCCGACCCGTTCCTAATCCGACCCGAATTTAACCCAACATGTTACAAACCCGACCCGAAATCAACCTGACTTGTTATTGACCTGTCCCAAATTCAACTCGACTTGTTATTCACCTGACCCGAATTTTACCATACTTATTACTTACCCAACCCAAAAATTCAACCTGATCTGTTACTATCCCGAATCGAAATTAACACAACTTGTTATTGACCTTACCTAAATTCAACCCAAATTGTTCCTGACCCGATTTCAAATCACCTTAATTGCAATTTAGACCACCTTATTATTTTTTATCAAAGCATTTTATCTTGGGAGACCAAGTCGGTCCAGGCCAGCAAAAGAAAGGAGCATCATCCTCAAATTTAAGAGTTAAATATAGTATATATTTGTTGTATGGTCAAAGGAGATAATTATCTTCCTAAATTATAGACTATAGTTCCCTAGTATATTTCCATATATATTATAGTCAAAGGAAATAATTAGCTTCATAAAAATGATAATTATTTATTTATAGTTACTTGAACCCGAATATGACCCGACTTGGAAATGACCCGACCTGATTGTAACCTGCAAATTATTGACTTGAACATAACCCGACTTGAATCCGAGAATGACCCGACTTGGAAATGACCCAATCTGATTATAACCTGCAAATTATTGACTTGAACCGAACCCGACTTAAACGCGAGAACCCGACTTGAAAATGACCCGACCTGATTATAATCCGCAAATTATTGACTTGAACTGAACCCGACTTAAACCCGAGAATGACCCGACCTGATTCTATCCCGTAAGTTATTGACTTGAACCGAACCCGAATTGAACCCGAGAATTACCTTAACCCATTTTTAACCCGTGAAAACCCGATATATTGTTCACCCGAACCGAATGTAACCCGACCTGTTATTAACCCGACCTAAACCCGACCCAAACCCGATAAGAAGCATGACCTGACGTTACCCGTTTCAAGCATGATCCAACCCAAAACCCGACCCGCATAGGTTATGGAATTAATCTGAAATGACTTGACCCAAACCCAACCCGTTTACCCGAATTGACAGCTTTATGTATAACCTTAATTCTCTAATTGGTGAGGAACCTTTAAAGGCCCCCCTTATAAATACGTTAAAATCCTCCTTACAGAAAATTCATCACTTAAAAAATTTCCGTACTCTCTGTCATAGAGAATCTCGGCGTCCCAAAGTAAAACCAAAGACAAAATTGTGGTTAAATAGCTAGAGTATAAGCAATACTATATTTAATTTTCAATGTGGGAATGTTATTTATTTGTTTATTACAGGAAATAACATTGCAAGTAGGGATGACAATGGGTTCAGGGTGCTACCCTAAAATATGGGTATTGGTCTAATTTTTTAGACCCTATGGGTATGGGTATAAGTGGTATCGGGTAGAGTAAGGGTTTGGGTACAATGTATTCAGACCTAGACCCTACCGAGACCCTTCTCGCGAGCCCATCAAACCCAGACTCGTACTTATACTTGCCCAATTTACTAAATCAAAAAAATTAAATCAAATAATACTTGTGAAACCCTAAATATGTGAGGAGCTTATAGTCGCCTTGCATCGTACACGTTAGTCACCCAAGTAATTGATACTATAAAAGTTATGACTATGATAATAGTTTTTATTATTTGTTTTGGACGGGGATGTTAATAGATGTTATTGCTACAATTATTGTTGTTAATAGAAGTGGGGTTAGCTAGTTTTGGCATACCAGTACAATAAGTTGAAATCCCACATTGATACGAATAGGAAATATAATTCAGTTTAATTATGGTTCTCTATGTTCGAAGGTTACCTATATGCTAAAGATAGGTAGCTTGTGTCAATATTGAATTCGATTGCCTTCGGCTAGCTGGTGTGCAAATAGCCATCTAGTAAGAGCACTCTCAATGGTGAGAGTTTTTTTAGCTCATGAACATTTTTTGTGAGGAAAAAAAATGCTCACAACTCACAATGGTGAGTAAAATGAAAAATAGGTAAAAATGCTCATGAGCATTTATTAAAAAGCTCAAAAGTTGAGCATTTTTTTCCATGAACAGTGTTGCAAGTGGGCCCCACACGCGTCAGAAAAATAAAAAAAAAAAGCTGACTCTAACATCAAAACGACGCGTTTTGATGAAGCTGCCTCAAAGGCGCGCCTCAAAACGCGTCGTTTTGAGTATCAGAAAAAAATAAAATAAAAAGGGAAGCTGACGCGTGCAGTTCGCTGGCGAATGAGGACGCGACACGTGGCAGCTGGCAGCAAGACAACCAATCAGAAAATACTAGCCGTTTTACAACGGTTATTTATGTATTTCCCATTTTCAGAAAAATATATTTTGTAAAAAAAAAAAAAAAATTACCAACGGTCATAAAATTAAATTCTCTATAAATAGACATGCATTTTGATATATTTTGATACAATTTCAAAAACACCTTAAAATCCTCCAAATTTTAATTTTCTTAAAAGTATTTTAATTTTGTAGAAGAATATTGCTATTGCAATTCATCCATATTGAGGTAAAAAAAAAATTATTTAATTTTTAAAATCAGTTAAATATAAGTAGTATATTATATGTGATTTTTTTAAAAAAAAAAAATATTTTAGGCCATGTAATTATATTTGCAATATGTAATTATTAAGAAAGTTGTTTATATTTTGTCCATAAATTTCTGAATTTGTTGTTGCAATTAATTAATGGTAAATTTTTGTTGCTATATATAAATGTATTAACTTAATAAAATTAGTATATATGTGATTTTATTGAAGAAAAAAAATTATAGGCCACGAAATTATATTGCATTATGTACATGTTCTTAAAGTGTTGCAAGTATTGGTTAATTATTTTCTTTAACATGTACCTGTACGTATAATGAACAAGGTCGTTGAAGGTGATGTGTACTTCCAGCAGCGTAGGGATGCAGCTGGAAGGTTAGGTTTATCACCTCTGCAAAAATGTACAGCAGCGATAAGAATGTTAGGCTACGGCATGGCTGCGGACGCCGTGGATGAATACGTTCGGATCAGTGAGTCAACTGCTCGAGTTGCTCTTCAACGTTTTTGTACCGGGGTCATTAATCAGTTCGGAACCGAGTACATGCGAAACCCTACAACTGCTGAATTGGCCAGAATTATGCATCAAAATGAACTGCGTGGATTTCCAGGCATGATAGGCAGCATTGATTGCATGCATTGGGAATGGAAGAACTGTCCAACGGCATGGAAAGCGCAGTACGCCGGTAGGAACAAGAAAGCAACGCTAATACTGAAAGCCGTTGCAGATCAGGATTTATGGATATGGCATTCCTTCTTTGGGATTCCTGGATCTTGTAATGACCTAAATGTCTTATACCGTTCCCCAGTGTTCGATGAGGTTCTGCATGGTCGAGCTCCTCCGGTAAATTTTACCGTTAACGGCCATGAATACAACATGGCATATTACTTAGCCGACGGTATTTATCCGAAGTGGGCAACTTTTGTTCAGGGTATCACAACCCCTCAACTTCAAAAAGATAAATTGTTCGCTGACCACCAGGCTGCTGCTCGAAAGACGTTGAAAGAGCATTCGGTGTTTTGCAAGCTCGATTTGCAATAATACGAAAACCGTCACTGGCGTACGATGAGGACATACTGCGAGACATAATGAAAGCATGTATCATTATGCACAACATGATTGTTGAAGATGAGCGCCACAACTACACTCGAGCCGAAGTTCTAAGAGCCTTCTACGAAGAAGATCAACAAGAATCAACACCAGCATCAACATCTACAACGCCACCGTTTGAATTCAACGTAGGCCGACCTACCAACTTTGACTTCAACGCATTTCTACAGCGAAAAGCTTCCCTCCGTGACAGAGAAATTCATCTATCTCTGAAACGTGATTTAGTCGAACATATTTGGCAACGATACGGGCCCCGTAATTAGGGAGAAATTAGACGATGTAGTTGTTGTGTTTTTTTTATTTCCTAAGTTTAATTGCGCATGACGTTGCAAATTAATTGTTCTCTAATATTGTACCGCTTTTAAAATAAATAAAAAATTATGAGCTTTTTTTTACAATTATTTATAATAACATAAATAATTTTACGATAAATTTTAACGATAAAAAAGAAAAAAATAAAAAAAATAAGTTACACATAATTAAACTAGTTTTTATTTATTTGGAGTAATGTTAAAATATAAATGAAATAAATAAATAAAGAAGTGTTGTGTAGGAGAGAGAAAGTTATGGTGGGGTATTGAAAAAGTAAGAGAGAGATAGTGGTGGGTGAGCATTTTTTTTGCTCACCATTGGGAGAGGAAATATGAAAAAAATTTGCCCATGAGCAAAATTGATTTGTTGAGAGAGAAAGTGGGTAGAGAGAGAGTGGGTGAGCATTTTTTTTGCTCACCATTGAGAGTGGTCTAAGGATGGACTAATTTTTGTTTTTCTTTTTTTTTTTTAGTATATCAAATTATTAAATTGGATCATAAGATTGTAGCACCATAAATTTAGAGAGGGGGAGAGGGGTGCGTAAACATATAAAACACAATATCATAAGCAACATTGGAAAGGTCATCCATAGCTTTGCTATCAGCAGATATGGGAGACTTAATTGGTGCCTCGAAGCTCCTCTCACACAACTCCACATTTGTTGGTACCGCGGCCATGGAATCTCGAGCAAAGCCATAGTCTCTATAGGACAAACCTTCTCGTACTTCTTTAAGCCAATTTATTATGATTATGTTATACCTATCAATGCAAGCTTTGAGGAGTTTCTTCGTCGGTTTATCTATCGTTCGATTCTTTAGGAGACCGGAGATGTGATCTCTGGTTTTGCTTGCCTCGTCGTCAACATGGGACACCATGATGGTGGCTAGGTCTCTCATATCTTTTGCATTACCCGTCTTAGGATCTGAGTTTAATGTTGTAACACAAAGATCGTAGTTATTTGTTTGCTTGCATGTTTGGTTTATTAGCAATATTAAGGTAGCATTTTCACCATTTGCTACCACTATAAGATGCGCTACAATACTAACTATTATTAAGGCTTTACAACTTCCCTCCATGTGTTTGCTTATGCCTTAATTAAAATTTAAATGTGCCTGCAAGTTAGATAACAAGACCGTAATTAGCTAATAATAATGACCTCATATAGGAGACTTTGGATAATTTGGTGGAAAATTTTTATGATAATATTTTCATTCCAAGTTGTCATCATCTTTTTCTTATTTTTTTATGCTCTCTACTCTCTACTCTCGAGTACATTAGCCTCTAACTCTCTAATATAAGGGTATGTTCACATTTAATGAACTGAGTTGAACTGACCTAAACTGAACTAAATATTTTATGAGAGAGGGAAATTAGGAGCTGAAATGAACTGAACTTAATTGGAGCTTAACTGAACTGAAGTGAACTGACTGGAGCTTAACTAAACTGAGCTGAAATTAAGTAAATGTTAAAAGGGCCTAAGTCTATTTTTTTTAAAACCCTAATATAAGTCTATTTTTAATCTCTCTTTTGATATTAACTTACTGGCGGTAAAATTCCAAAATTACAAAAAATAATAAAGTACGTGATTATTATTACTAAAAAAAAAAACTTTTAGGTGATTATTACTAAAAACGACAATAATAGTAGCGGATTATTTTCTATGCTTCTTTTAAGAATTTTCTTTTTTCAAAGATGATATTTTTAATAATTGTAGTAATGAGTTGAAAACTGTGCAAAAGAAAAATAGTTTCGACAAATAAAAGAAATTATAGGGATTATTAATTTTTATTATTAAAATCTTTTTTCATGTATACTACGGAGTATTAAAATCTTTGAAATGTGGTAGAATTTGGTGAAGGAAATGAGAATTAAAGTTTAGATAGCGTTTTTAAAGGAAAAAATGGGGGGAAAAATCACTCAAAAGGATTAAAATTAGTGTTAGGTGGGGCCTAAAGACGCAAAATCCACCGGATTTTTGAAATGGGTGGTAATCTGAGCATTGGTTTAATTTAAGGGGTGGTAATTTATAATTAAAAAATTAAATGGGTGGTTAGTTCGAAAATAGTTATATTTTTGGGTGGTAATTTAAAAATTAACCTATTTTATATCTCACAAATAATACCTCTTTGTTGCAAATAATAGTTAACGAAGGCAGTATATGAAAATTTTCAAATTTTCCCGCTTCTCAATGCATTTCATTATAATAGCATATCTAATTATGCAAATGCAAATTTATTTAAAAAAATATACAAATACAAAGTATATTTTTTATTTTTATTTTTTTGAAAAGATATACAAAGTATATATTAATAATATACACATAAGTACATATATCTAATGTATAAACCACAAACAAAAACATTGTTTTTTAAGCTTAATAATTTTTGTTTGATATGCAATAATAATTTTGTTGATTTAAAAAATTCTACATATTTAAATATGTATCCGACGTTATTCATGTGGTCAAATTATAGGAAATTAGAGCAATACAGAAAACTTACCAAGTCTGAGCAAAGGTAAAGAAATTATTCCCAACAACACCTGCAGAGGATCAAAGATGTGCAACTATAAGAGAGTGGAGAAAAGAGAGATTTTTTTAGGGAGGGGGTTATAAGAGCAACTCCAGGCAAATTAATTGTCAAATTAGCTTGTATGCCATATAAGCTTTTAAGCTAATTATCTTTCTAGATGATTTGAATTCCAATGACTAGTTATCAGCTTACTATTTAAATTATTATTCATTGTTTTCATCTTAATTAATTACTAATTTACTTTTAACATTATTTTCTTTTTAGCAAGGTTTTTTTCCCTAGCAAATTAAACTATATTGGCAAATCTAATTTGTTTGGCCAAGGCGCCAAGCTAATTTCATATATTCTAGCTCAGCTCCAATGGTCAAACTAGTAGCTAGAGACTATATAAAATTACAAGCAAGTCCCTAATTACAATCATTGAAGTTGCTCAAATCATTATTGGTATGAAATTTAATTAATTAATTAATTAATTAATTAATTGTTGTTGACACACTTCCCTTTTAAAAAAATTCTAGTTGATACTTGATATGCTTCCTTTTGAAAATAAATCTAGTTGATATGCTTCGTTTTTTAGTTGATATGTGCTTCCTTTTTAGTAAATATATGCTTCCTTTCTCAAAAATCTGAGTAGTTAATAATATGTTTCCTTTTCTATAATCAATAAAAAAAAATTAAAATAAGAGGGGATTTTTCTGTATAGCTGGTCATACCGTGTAGCCGGGGTTACTCGAGTTACTCGATTAGGGGTTACTCGAGTTACTAGGTAAGGGCTTACTCAAGTTACTCCTGACTGAACCCATCAAGTAACCCTTGACCGAGTAACCCCTTAATTAGCCTCTGACCGAGAAACCCCTTAATTAGCCTCTGACCGAGAAACCCCTAACCGAATCCATCAAGTAACTATGTTCACAAACACACTCGTTTGCATCTTGAGTATAAATTCGAGCTTAAATGTATTTTAATTGGACTTGATTAAATAAACGAGCCCTAATTTATCATTAAAAATGATTTTTTTTTTCAAGTTTTAATGCATCTATTTAACTTTATATAAGATGTTATTTTTCTTTATATTGAAAAAGGTAATGAAAGAGTTTTCATGCCTATATATGATGAAATAATTAGTACTTTTTACAAATATGTATGAGAAAAAGATATATAATTTATTGAGTTTTATTTAGGCGTGAAAAACTTATAAATGAACTCAAACGAGTTGTTCATGAACATTATCAAGTCGAACATGATGTTGTTCGAGCTTTGTTCATCTATTTGGCGAGCTTAAGACTTTTGTTCGATCAAGCTTGTTTGTTAGCTTAACAAACTAGTTTTGATCCAGCATTGAGCGATCTTGTTCGCGTGGGAGTAGTTCACAAATGTATCATCTCGTTTACACCTCTATTTAACGATTTTTTCACAAGATATACAATGATGAAAATAAATAAGAAGTAATTATTAATGATAATATGAATACATATAATAAAATTATATATTACTTTTCTTTTGTGAGTGAATTTTGAGCAAATAAAGTGTATAGAAGATTTTGATTATTACCAAATGGAAATGTTTATAATTTGCAAATTGCAACCATTTAAAGTTTATAATTTGCAAATTGCGGTTATTTAAAAAAAAATTGCAATTGCAACCCAATAGTATTAGTAACTTGTTATTTTGTTAATTGTCACCCAATTCATTTTTTTTCCTCGATTCGAATGCTAAAAAAAATTTATTATTAAGGTTATAGGGGTCATTTTAATTTTAGATCTTAAGGGTCCAAATTGAGCTCGAAAAAATAAACGTAAATGCCTTGTTCAGTTCAGTTCTGGGTATTTTACGTTCCAATCCCCTCCTAATTGTTGTTGTGGGGGTCAAACAACTTATCCTTCCTACCAAGTACAGTCTCAATCACCACTGCACCAACAGTTAATTGGTACTCTGTAGTTAATTGTAAATTGTGTAGATTAAGAAAAGTAGTTGCGAATAATATTAATTGTAAACTATATATATATATATATATATATATATATATATATATATATATATATATATATATATATATATATATATATATATATATATATGCCCTATTCTCTTCACCTTAAAAAAAAATATTAAGTAAAAATAATTTCAGTTCAGTAAAAATAGGTTTAGTTCAGCAAAATTCAGTTTTATTAAAGAAGAATTATAATAGAAAACCAGTAAAAATAATTTCAGTTTAGCAAAAATAATTTCAGTTCAGTAAAATTAAATTAAGTTCAGTAAAAATAATTTAAGTTCAGCAAAAATAATTTCAGTTCAGTAAAAATAATTTCAATTCAGCAAAATTAAGGTGAATAGAACGGGGCCTAAGCATTTAGGAGGATGAAAAATTATTTTGGAGGTTCTTGGTAGGTAGATATTGCAAGTTTGATTTTATGTAATAATTTAAATGCAAATATTTATCTCCTATTAGCCTAAGTCAAGCAAAAGTAGAACAAGTTTATCTCCTTAATCAATTGAGCAAGTTTATCTTCCACTGTTCATTATCTACATGCCTAATTTATTTTCTTTTTGGGATTTCAAAACTACACGTTTATTTCTATTTAAAGAATGTACTTTTTGATAATATTATGTTTTTTTGATGAGTTGTCATCAAATTTTTTTTTTTTTTTAGTACTTTTGACATCATTTTCCAACACTTTCTCTCTATCTCTATAATGATTACCAACTACCTTTTATTTCTCTATATCTCTATAACCTCACATACACATATGTACTTCCCAATCATGAGTTTTAAGGAATCTATAAATTCCTTAATTCCCGTTAAAAATAAGAAATAGGTATATAAATAAGGGACAAATGGAGAAATGATCAAAACAAATTGTACTTCCTACATAACACACTACATAAACTAGGGGTGAGCATGGGACGGGTACCCGTACCGTTACTACTAACGGTTCGGATAACCGATAACTAATATCACTAAAAGTGATACCCATAAATCGAACCGATAAGTTCGGGTACCCGGACTTCGGGTATTACCCGAATTTTCGGATCGGTTATCGGGTACCCAATAAGATATCCAATAGTGATAATTAAACTCAATAATGTAGTTATAATATATCATTTAACACTAATTAACAACAATATCACATGATCTTTACCAAATTATTAATAATATTACTAATCAAGTAATCATTGATATTATAAAGTGATTATGAAGTAAAGTAAGAGTTTAGATTTTTGAAAAAATAGATTTAAGTAGGAAAAAAAACAAAAAATTGCTTATTGGATCGGATCGGGTAACAACTAATTTTAAAATGATACCCATAACCATACTCAATAACAAATTATCGGAATGGGTACCCGAACCGTTAAGGTTATCGGATCGGGTACCCTAATTTTCGGAACGGTTACAGAACAAGTTTTTGGTTTTTCGGGTAGTTTTGCTCAATCCTAACATAAACCTCTCATCTCTCCAAAACCCTAGCATCCATTGTTGAATTTTAAAGGGGCTTCCATCGGTTTTAATCGGTGTAAAGCCCCAATCCTAGTTTCTTTGAAGCTTTTTTAGGTTTTATAATATGCTTCCTCCTTCTGGGAGGAACTATTTTACCTCGAAAGAAAGGGTTTCCGACCTCATTCGAAAGACAATAGTTTTTCGACCTCCTTCGAAAGACAAGGTTTATCTCCTTTTTTTCGGGGGAGAAATTTTTTGAATTCATGATAGTAGATCTAATGGATTGTCGTGAAATTATTTCGTTGGTGAAAAAGTTATCAAGTTTCGAATGTAGACAGATGAATCAGAAGAAAAACATCCTCACGGCTACAAAGAATCGTTAGATTGTCTCTCCAACACGGTTGTATTTTCCAGCGATATAAGCGGGAGATGTTCCACAATGCAAGATCTACTTGACGATCGTAGTTTTTATGAAGGAAAAATTTATTTGATTCAATATCTTATGTATTTGTTAACGTTGAGTCTATATTATAGATGTCGTATGACATTTAATTAATGAAATATATTTGCTATTAAAAAAATGGAGAAATGATCAAATGCACCGTGTTACACGGTGTATCAATCATTGTCTCCCTTTTCATTAAAAAAAAAAAGTTTCTGACAGTATATAAAAGCTACTTTGCAAATAAAATTTAATATTCATAAACCAACTACTAAATTACGAGTAATAAAGAGATACAGTAATGGTAAAGATTAGAATAGACCCGGTCTACAATAACTTATTGTAGACCCAACCTTCTAGTATACCATACGAATGTGATTATATCATACGAAATGTGATTATATTACTACAAAAGTGATTATAACATTTTGAAACTGTTATGTAAATGTATCACTCAAAAAGTAAATTTATCATTATAAAAAGTATGAAATAGTAAATTACATCATTCAAAAAATGATTTTTAAATTTTATCATCCTAAAGATAATTATATAATCTCATTAAATGGTTTAATATGAGATTATATAATTCAAAATATGACTCACAAAAAGATAATTATATTGTCTAAAAAAGTGATTATATCATCCAGAATGTGATTATATTATTTGAAAGTGTCAAAATTTGAGTCTACAATAATTTATTATAGACCGGGTTCATACAAGACCAATTGTACAGTAATATGAAAAAGTTTCCATGTGGTAAATTTGGTGTAAATGAAATAATGTATTGTATGACGAGTGGAAGACTTTGACAAAAATTACAAGCTTTACATTACTTGAGAAATGAGGCTTTTAAAATAAAATAAAAGGTACATATATACACCGTATATATATAGAATTGGAATGAAAAGTTGATATCAGCAAGAAATACAAGAAAAGAAAACACAGAAAATGAAGGCATACCAGCATGTTTGTTTTACCCTGTTGGTTGGTGTATTAGCAATACAACATCTTAGAGTAGCTAATGGTAATGAATTGAAAGAGATTACATGGCATTGTTGGGCATTAAGAGTGAAGTAATTGATGGTAGTGGTGTACTGAGGTCATGGAATGACTCTGTTCACCATTGTTTTTGGGAGGGTGTGAGTTGTGGGCACAAACATAATAGACCTGGCAGCAAGGGGTTTAAGAGGAATTGCAGCAAAATAGGTTTACGGGATCATTGCCAAAACTTGTAGCCAATCTTTCCAGGGATTTAACTTGGCTTGGGATTGGGAAAAATCTTATCAATGGAGAAATTCCTACCGGTATTGGTAATCTCATTTAACCTTAAGGCCATCATGATGGAACACAACAAACTCACAGCTTCCATCCCTCCTGATTTTGGGAACCTTCATAACTTGGAATGTCTAGACCTTTACTCCAACAAGCTAATAGGTGAAATTCCCACTTCTTTTGGAAATTTATCACATCTAAGAAAACATGCTCTCCATAATAATAACTTGCATGGAAAAATACATCCTAGCCTTAGTAATTGTACATACTTGTTATATTTAGATTTATCCTCAAATAAATTCAATGGATCCTTCCCCAAAGAGCTCTTTGAAAAAACATATTTTATTCAATTCAGTTTTGCTAATAATTATTTACAAGGGTCCCTACCTATGGAGATTAGCAACCAAAAAAACTTGGAAATTTTTAGTGTGTCCAATAATTGTTTATCAGGAGAACTTCCAAATGTCTTTAACAGCTTATCAGTTCTTCAACAAGTGTACATGGATCCTAATTTATTCCAAGGTCTGATTCCTCCGTCATTTTACTATTTGGAAAATGTTTTGAATGTTGATCTTTCCCATAATAACCTTTCAGGCCCTATTCCAGAATATCTTTCTTCGTTTCCCTTGATATATCATCGGTGGGTCTCTTCCCAGACATAAGGAATGCATGATGGTTATTATAAAGATTGGAGTGGCATGCTCAAATCAATTGCCACACCATCGAATGACAATAAGTGCAGCCATAAGCGAGCTACTAGAAGCAAGAAAGACCCTTCTCATTCCAGGGCGGAGGCATAATTTTCCAAGAGGTACACAAATCTAACACAAGTTCAATAACTCTTTTTTTCCCTACACTAGCTAGTAATTTAGTTTTTCATACAACTGATAAAACACTGAAACGTGATTTACAGCAGGAGCATGAAAATTAGCATCAGCTTGTGTGGAATCAAAGTATTCTGACAGACTCGGTCCTAGGATCCAAAAGTGCCAGAAAGTCGAGCATCATATTACACAATATGTTCTTTAGTATGTGTTTATGTTACGAAAATAAATTTGGAGGATTTTTTATCTTGGTAATGTACATTTTATCCATGGTGTTTCTTTTTAGATTTCACAAGTGTGTACTGTACTAAATCAGCATTCTGTAATAATTACTCAGACACAATCTAAGAGATGCAAAGGTATCGTCTAAAAAACCGTGGTAGCATTAGTAATAAGCATTACTTGTGTTTCAAACAACTTATGCTTCTAGATCACAAAAAAATTACCAAGAAGAGATATACTGGTAGCAAATTTCTGCTCAATGACTTAAAATAACTGTTAAATGGGTAGCCAACCACAAGTGATTCTATTGTCGATGATGTCACTTACAAACACAACGTAGACTGGTATTTTTAATGAAGTTCAATCTGCTAAGATTTGAAAAAATTAAAAAAAAAAAAAAAAAAAAAAAAAAAAAAAAAAAAAAAAAAAAATCCACTGGATAACTAAGCAGCTTCATGGCTAAAAACAATCAGCAGTGTATCTTTCATTCTTTCCTCTAATGTTAGTTGATCTTCAAAGACTTAAATGTACTGTACTTGTTTTTTTTTTAGTACAGATGTAGATTGCCACTTAAACTATACATTCCAGAGCAATTTGTGCCCTCTTTATGTACATATATCCATTGTTTAATCACCATACACAGATGCAAACGCTACCTAGAGCTGATGATTAGCAGAGGAATCTACCAAAAATAGGGGCTTTTGGTTTTTCTAATCTCCATTTCATTTTATGAAAAGAAAATTACTGCAAGCCTAAACCAATACGCCAGCATGACCTCCTTCCCTGGCAACATAACCGACAAAATTGTTCGGCGGGTACACAGGCATTCTATACTGATCATATTCAGGAATTCCGCAGAATGCTTTCCCTCCGTTCATTTTTCTGGTAAAGAACTGTTCAATGTTGGGCAGTTCTGAAGCTGGCACGATACTCAGTAACATCTTCCCTGGCTTTCCTCGGTAGCAGCTACTAAGACAGTTCCTGAATTCCTTCTCAAGTGAAGCTACATTGACACCCGTACATTGATCAACATTAAGGCCCCAGTAGAAAACTACACTTGCTCCAGAGTCAACATGTTCTGTGGGGTTGGGGTCACAGGAAACGTTGATGTCCTCTAACTGCAAGAAAACCAAATATGAGAAAATTTTCGGACAACAATGGGCATTGTTGTGTTGTATGTGAGTGTTGTTTGCACAAACGAGTGAAAGGGAGAGAACATGCTTACAGTATACCTTTTCTTTATTAGACTAGGCATACAAAGTGTGAGCAACTCACCAGAAGAAAAGGCTTACAAAGTGTGAGGGTCTCGATAACACGGAAAGCAGATAAAGACACGTCACACACACCAAATAACGATCATAGGATTCATGGCTTCAAGGAACAGAAATAGCTTGGTGTCAAAAGGTTCTCTCATCATCTTTAATATTCTTACACATTCTTTACCTGTTCATCTAAAATGTAGTTCTTATAGCATTTTAACAGACGCAGAAGGAATGAAAAAAGACAAGAGAAGAATGCCAGCAACTATTGGCAAGAGACAGATGCCAACAACTGTACAAAGAGAGACACATTAATGAGAAATGGCTTAAGGTAAAAAGGTTTACAAGCCATGTGAAGTTATATTAATTCAGTTCTCCAACAGTCTTCTTTTAATAAAATAATAAAATCCCTTAGACAACTAGTAATTTAAAGAGATAATAGTTGTTATACCCCGTGAGATCTTTACTTTAATCTGAAAATTAATGTATATAGCCTATCACTATAAATTGCCTCCAATTTGTATTCAGTGTAAAGACAAAAATGAGCCAAAAAGTGTCACATATAGACCATCACTAACCTTCAAAATGAGAGAGGGAAAACGTGATTTCACCCATCCAGCCCATTCTCCCAATTCATCTTTTGCACAAGCTAAAAGGTAAATTTTAAGAAATTGGGGATACAAATGACGGTACATGAGACTATAAGGTTCAAATAAACAATCCCAGTCGAAATCAGGCCGCAGGATCCCCTGGAAATTTAAAGATAAAATGTGTCAGAAAATATAGGTCAGTGAAAGCTGTAAAATTCAAAGAGACAAAGGTCAACGAACAGAGTATCTTGAGCATTATTGTCTATAATCCACTAGAATTTAAATGTCAAATAACTTACGTTTGCTCATAGTTAATAAAAATGAAAAATCAACCAAGCCTGGTATCACTAGTTGTGCAAAAGTATCTACGTGATGAATTATAAAATGGTCAAAAAGGCTTTATTATTACAAAAAATCAAGTCTGCTAACCTTGGCGATTTCATGCCCTCTGAATAATTCTTTCTTAATTCGGTTAAACGTGCTCAGTGTGACATTAGATTGGCACCATTGATTAGGGCTACAAGGCAGACCAATTGGCATCCAATTTACTTTCTCGGTCACATCTTGCACAACGTGCATCATTCCATCTTGCAAAACAACAGGTGTAGGCCAGGGCCAATTGGCAAATGTGTTGAAGAAGTTCATCACAAGTGCACTTAAGCAAGCATCTGGACTCATTTGACACACAAAAGCTGATAATATAGCCCAATGTATCCCTCCTAGGAATCCAAACAGCTGAAAACAAACATAGAGCTGTCAATTATCCAGTAACATGGAGACTAGCCTGAAAGATGTGACCAGATGGGATAACAGTACAACACCTATGTGACAAGAATATAAAATATGGATGTATGAGAGATGCAAACTTAAAACAACAGAAAGGGAAATCACTTAAATGTAAAATCCAAATCTTCCAAACTTCATGCCTTTCATTTCTCTATGTTACCACTCAACAAGTTAATCCCAATCAATGTTACCACTCTGACGTCACATGGAGTGATGCCATGTTTGATAGTTTTAGCTTTAACTGATGGAAAAAGTGGACATAAAATCGCTCCCCTTAAGACAACCTGGCCTCAATATACTTATAAATCAATCTGGAAAAGGGGGTAAATGGAAAATCACCCACCCAACTCCTAAAATCTTTGCCTCAGATTATTGGGGAACCAGAACCTAGAAAAACACTCACTTATAACCCTGTCATAGGGATGCATCCAGAAGTGAAATTCCCAAACATTAAGAGCGCCATTTAGGGTAGTAAAACAATATAATCAATGGGAACGGACACAAAACAGTTGTTTTCCTCTCCAAACATCCTCCTATGATCAAGTTCAGTGACAAAGAAGGAGAAGACCAAATACAACAGAGAGATAAGCTTCCACAGGCAAGCATATATCACTGTTGTAAGCTTGTAAAAAACTGAGCATCCCATCCATGATACACGATGCCACAGCGAATCATACTCAAGCAGAACACACAACAACCAGATATTGCTATATAATGCCTCACAACCAAAAAAAGGTTATTTGAAATTGACAAGACTAAGGTGTCATGTACAATTGCATTTGTTAGCTGCTTTAATTGATACTGAGGCAGGAAGTAGGAACCTCACTGAAAACCGGTGTAGCTACCACAGATAATATCAAGTGCAACTATACAGGCTTCTTTTTGTGTACTAACAGAACATGATCTACTGGAGGCTTGTCTCTTTTCAGCACTAACTGCATGTCCATTCATGGCAACAACATTAACAGTACAACCACCACAGTCCAACAAAAAGAATTGCATAATTACTTTACACTTAATTAAAGATTAATGAATGGCCAATAGCCCGTAAATGATAGATTATTAGGACATTCCTTACATGCACTATTGCATTAAATGAAAAGGCAAGAGTTTAGAAATTAAACATCATAACAAGTTGGTGGGGGAATTGACAGATTGACTGATGGCCAAAATCTAGGTAACAGATCAAGATGTGTGAGTAACAAAAAGGAGACTTGTTAGTGCTAGTTGAATGTGAAGTAATGGCTTTTGTGCAACGATGAGGGTCCTGATATAGTGGAATCATTCGGGTTGTTACAACCTCTAGCAGATGGTTCAAAAGTGATTCTAAAAGAACCTATATTTCACCAAGTAGTGCTAATTTCCCCCTTTTTAAAATGGCTCCAGTCACTACATTTATGCTAAGTCTGGTTGCTCGATCTGTTGATTATGGTATGGTATTGTCTGACTCAAATCCAAATATTGGGCTACTTTATTTGTTTTCCATATCTTTGCAACGTGTTTATGGAATTATTATAGCAGGTTATGACCCAGTAAATTGACACGGTCCACAATATAAAATACCAAACCTTCTGCATGTATTTATTCCAAGTTTGGATATGAATGGTTGTAGTAAGCCTGGCAAGTAAGACCAGTTCTAAAATTTTGCATTTTGCACAGATAGAAAATGGATATAATTACATGAGGCCTTCTATTTCTTGTGCTGCAGGATCATAGCATTAATTACATCTTTATGTAAACATACTATACTTTGTCAATTTAACAATTGTTTACTAATAACCAGAAAGAGCACAAGTTCCTGCCTCACTTTTTATTCCAGGTAATTATAGTTGATGGTCCCAAGTTGCAACTACTACAGATTTGAGAAGAACTAAATTATGAAAAAATGGGATTTAAATCTTAGATGTGTGCTTAAAGCAATTCAAACATAGAATACTCAGTCCCTCTTTATGTGACATTCTTATTAAGCAGAAGAGAAAAAAAGAATGTTGTTGGGTTTCAAGAGATCCAGAAGTCACATGGTAAATGTAATTATACGAGAACTAACACCAGATTAATGCATTCTAAAACTTAGTAGCAGTCAAGGAGCACATAGCTCCAAAAGCAAACTGTTAATCTCTGAGGAAGTTCAAGCAGAGATGACTTACATTACCATAAACACCACGTTGTTTGGCCCAAAACTTGATGCACCGCAGCAATGACTGAAAATTCTGTAACATATGAACCACATATATAAGAAATTAAAAACTGAATGCTGTAGATATACAGACCCAAAGGGCTGAATGAAGAAATAAAATTATATATATAGGTACAATTTATCACTTTTTTATTATATTACACAAAACTCTTCATTAAACCTCAGGAACCAGTGTCAAATGACTCAGATCCGCTATATTCACCAAATGGATATGGATACTTCATGTTAGATCAAAAAAATTTAAAAAAACTCTTTGTAACATGGATGTTTGGTAACATTTTCTGCAGATATCATACTATAGTACGGATGACAATTATTCCTGGTAGGATTAATTTTTCCTTATTGAGCTACTAAGTGTCACGAGTGGCATACCAGGAAAAGGATACCAATTATGACAACCACTAATGAATAATGACTAGTTCGAACATTGTGAACAGTCTGATCCTTTTTTTTTTGAGAATAATGTTGGGAGATGATTAATGCAAAGAAGGTATCATATTAGACAAAGTTCACCAAGATGCAGCACCACCTATTACCCCGTTAGAATGAATTAATCATCAACATGTAGACAGCTCTCATAGATCTAAGAGGAAAGGAGAAGTTGATTAAAGCAAGACTTTAAGGTATCTAAAAGGATTGATAAGAAAGTGAGACGACTTGTGACCAATATTAAAACACCAGAGAGGTGAACTTATCACCTCTTCCAAGTTTCATTTTCTTCGAATTTACTTTTAATAATCATTAATCTACCAATTTGTTTTCTACCCCACAAGGTTAATGTACATGGCTTACTTAATACAACTGCAGATCACTTTAACTCAAACAATATGGAGATGATATGCATAGATTGAAGGAGAAGTGAAACACAGCCTGTGTCCTAAACAACAAAACTAGAAAACGTAAGGAAGGCTAAAGCATTTGAGTAATAATAACTGTACTTAGTAGTAAATGCATATACATCGCTCAATTGTCCATCACAACTCACAAAAGGACAGGCCAAGTTCAGCCCGCACGATGAGCCAGGGTTCAACTTCAATAGTTGAAATGCTAGCTAGTAAAATGCTCAACATAAAAAATATATATATATAAAATAAACACACACACACACACACACACACACACAAAGAGAGAAGAACATACTACCTCCAAGTTTGGAACAAGTTGAAGGATGCGTTGATTAGTACACACACCAGATAAGCTTTTCAAACTAGTTTCATCAATACTAGTCACGAACATTGGATTCAGCAGGTCCACATTCTGCATTCATGATTTCAGCAGATCAAGAAAAGAAACTTTTTCATTAGGATGTGTTCTTTGTAAGGGAAAAGGGGAAAATTTATATACACTGTAATGGAAATAAATTCAATTATAAAACAGAAACAGACAGAATGAAGATTAATTCTCATTTATCCTGGTAAATAAGTTCTATATTGTTCAGAGTAACTTTCCATCTTTAAGCAGCTAGCATTTACTCACTTCAGGAACTGACATAACTCGAAGTTGAGCATATGGCATATCAACAGAGATCCCTTCAAATTTAAACCGCATTAATGGCACCTTAGCATCCTTGACACAGTAGATTTCAGACACTTCAGGTGAGCTTTTAAGCATATTGTATAAAACAATAAAGAAATCCTCCTGCGATGTCAAAGACAAATATGAGACAACATCCAACACATAGCCAAGCATCAATCCCATAAAATAGATAGAAAAAAGAAACCTACTTCTAGAGTAGCAAACCGAGGGCCAACACATATAGCATCAATGTCTGATTCTGAATTATGAACCTGGGTAAAAAAAAAATAGAAATGAAACTACAGATAAAATCCTGAATCATACTTGTTATCAAACGCCGCCTAACCGAAAACACAAGCATGATATTAAACAATTTTCATCAATTCTAATATATATCAACATGAAAGAACAAAAGATGATATGAGCTTCATTAGAAACAAATTTAACTTTAAAATGACATCAGAGATTTTTAGTTTAAATTTTCATGGAGATTTCAAGATTATATAATTTTACGAGCTTGCGCATATTATGGTACTTAAAATCATTAGTAGACCTCAACTACCATCTTGGATACTTGATACTCCAACATGGATATGAATGTTTAACAATTCATTTTGGACCATAATCATCAACCTTTCATAAAATGGCCAACTCCTCGATATATACCTATGTCAGACCGGACTGACACTACTACCCGAGTCCATGTAACATACATTCACAATAGTCAAAGCATAGGAAATTTAGAATTGATGGATCTAACAATCATATAAAAATGCATGCCTCTCTGTTAAGCTTTAACCAAGTACTAAGCATGTTGACCATTAACTCTATACTTTGCTTGCATGTAGACCTCAAGGCACAAAAAACTGACTAAGGCCCTATAAGCTGTTGTAGTAGTTGAACTGTTATATTTTAGATAATAGAGAATAGCTAGCAAGACTTTAGTGTTCTATACAACAAAATGCTGAATTAGGGATAAAAAAAAATAGAACAGAACTTCAAATTTACTTTCTCCAAACCATTAATTATACCTCGCAAAAGTCAAAACCACCCCAAAACACTATTTTATCAAACACTGTTGTTTATAGTTAGAAGATCCATAAATTAAAGAAAAAAATATTTCATAATTAACAGGCCCAAAATCTTAATATATAAAAATTAAAAAATTAAAAAAAAATATGAGTTTATGTGTGTAAGAAACATAAGACCATGAGTCCATGCACATAGTACAAGTGCAAAATAGAATTCTTACCCCAAGGCCAAAAGATCCATAAGTTAATATTGTAGCTGATGCATTGTTGATCCATAAGTTTCTTCTCTGTTTAGGGAGCTTCCTCAGGTGAGCAATTTTTGTAATCCATTCCTGTACAGTCTACAGCACGGAAATAATCACCATGAGCCAATTAAATAGGACACTGAAGCATTTAAAATTAGATCATACAACACAAAGAAAAAGCAGTAGTTTATACAACAAACACTTAAATGGGAGGTCTGCCACAAGAGGGAGAAAAATGACTGCCTCTATCAATAGCTTATCTGAACAAAACACTACCCTTTGAAGAATGACTATACAATTGAATGATTCCCTTGAACAACATACACTATAAATCCACATGGAAACTCTTAAGTTCAAAATCCTACTTTGGTAGAATGGCAGCCTGGCAGGAGATAAAACAAAATTGGAACCAGAGATCCGGACCCATTAGCTCTAATTTGGTGCATATTATGTACACTTAAGACTATTAGTTTTGAAAAATGCATATTGCAAAGTAGAATTAGATCATCAGCCGAATTCCGATATCATTATTGCTCTAATAGCACAACCTATAATGACTTCTCAATAAACTTGTTAGCTCAAATATGAATCATGCCTTGCACATATGCTAGTAGTACTACTTTCTCCTATTGAAAAAGGAACTTTACTGCGTTTACCCCTTAGTATACAAAGTTTGGACCAATTTCATTTTTGCTGCAATAATATACATTAGATGCCTTGGTGACATTCTCATGCAGTCATACTATCCTAGCATCAAAACTTTCACTGAAACAAACCAGTTTTTACACACAAAAGCACCAGTTCCTGATCAAGAATATATGTATAACACTACTGTTATCCATATGCCTCTTATGAGACTTTGGCCTAAATCATGTGTAATGGAACCGGGTCAAATGTATGCAACCGTACTCGACTACTCGCGCATCGGCCTATATACAACAATTACAAAGAGAATTAATTTCCTTGGTCATAATCTGAGCATTTCCACAAAGCCCCAAAATCTTAAGCCACATTAGCTTCATGCTTCAAACAACAGCCAAGAAATGCATGTATAAAAAAAAATATGACATAAAACCACGATTTTCTAACTATAGGCAATCTTATATTCTTATAAACAAAACCCACTCATTAAATTAAATCATATAATTAAAGGCGCAAAAAAAATAAAAAAAATAATTAATTAATTAATTAAAAGAAAAGGAAATACCTTTTTGAGCTTCTGAATTATGGCTTCTCTTTTGAATGTCTCTTCAGGAGACGGCACCAGACCTTCACTAACCATGAACTAAACCCAACAAAAAAATGAAATTAAACCCAAAACAAAATATAATTAAACCCAGAAAAAAATATTAAAGATAAACCCAAAAACAAATTAACATAAAACCCAGAAAAATTAAAGATAAACCCAGAAAAAATTAATAAATGGGGAAGTACCTGATGCAAAGTAATGGAGAGATGAACATCCATACGAACAAGGAAAGCAGGTGGAAGCGGATTATAAACAGGAACAAAGCACACGACGTTGTATGGATTAATTACATCAACTCTTCTTCCTATGTGATGGTATGCATTTGCCATACACCAATATCACAATCTTTAATCCTTTCAGCGCTAGGACTAATTGCAATTTCTCTACAAAAATTCAAAAAAAAAAAATAGCAATGTTAGAGAAAAATTCTGGGTAATCTTGAAGAACAAAAGAAGAATTGGAAATGGAAATGCAACAGTAAAAAGGAATTGGAGAGAGAAAGAGGAACACAATTACATACTGGTTTGAGTTGAGGAAGGGTTAAGAGGATTAGCAGCACGTTGAGGAAGATGAAGTTTGAAAGAGTACTACGTATTAAATTTTGGAGAAATTTTCTGGGTTATATAGTACTGATGTGGTGGTCTGAAACTGAGATTTTTTTAAAATGTATTTAAGGGGGCAAAGGTCATTTCTCCGTTTGGCTTTTGCCGTTGCAGATATGGGTTTCCAATTAAGGCGCCGGCGTATATGCATTTACTTAAAGGTTTTTATATACACTCGGGTGTAAGGTGCACCTAAAGATATTTGTTTACTCATTTGATGATAAAATAAGCAATAATTATCGAAACAAACAAAAAATACCCTTGGGTGACAGGACACCTAGTTGTATATAACAAGTTTTAGTGTTTACCTAATTCTCTTAACTTATTTTTGCTACTTGTATTTCATTTGAACTAATTTTTAGTTTCATACAATGTCGTGAGTTATTGCATTATTTCTTGTCAAATAAAAATCCAAAATTATATTTAATTTTGGTAGATTGACATGTAATAAATATAGTGATAGCGTATTAGTTACGAAAAATAATCATGATTAATCCCAATTTTGCTCCGTTCGCTCAAAATAATCTCAACTTTCGATAATTTTTTTAATAATCCCAACTATATACTTAATCCGTCCAAAATACACCCAAGTGACAGGATAAACAGGTAATATTTGTAAGAAAAAAGTCTAATATAAACGTGTCACCACGTTATTAGTCAAAATTTTTAAAAAATATATATATAAGTATTATTATTAACTGATTAATTAAAAAAAAAAAAAAAAAAAAAAACCACCACATCCCCAAACACCGCCCCAGCACTCCACTTGTCAACTCCAGACCCAATTACCCATAGTCGGCGCCGCCGCCCTTACCCCTCTCCCGGCCGTCTTGTAACACCCCAATAATTCTCCCTTTTCCAAACCACTTACTTTAAATAAAAATAGAGGAGAACCATTGGCATGTTACCGCCACGTGTTAAAACGTTAAGGCTTTATCAAAGTATCGCAGCGGAAAATCAAACTTAAGTCTTTAAAATAACATAATTTAGAAAATCCATAAGTCAAAGCCTACTAATTGGAACCATAAAGGCCCTTATTTAAAACCAAATCAATATTCAAAATCCCAAAACATAATTAAAGTAGTAAAACATAAATAATTTCAACACAAATAACGAATACTCTCAATCACACCAATCCCTTGACAATGCGTATGTCAAATCACCGAACTTCACATCATCAAGCTAACTTGTGCAATACTGCTCCCCAATAATACAAGTGTAATAATTGGATCATCACAGGGTCATTGAAAAGCGAAGGCCATGACCAAAAGAAAACACACAAAAGCACGCAATCAGCAAAGCTGAGTACATACAAGCTACAACGCACAAAACCTAGCATGCTCAATTAATTAAAATAAATAAACATATAACACAAATTAATTAATCAAGACTCCACACTTAAACAATTCAATCGACTCAACATACTTGCTAATCAATTCCAAACACTTGACTCTTTATATTTAATTTAATTAATTTAATTTGGAGTAAGCAATAGACGAGGTTGTCCAATCCACCAAATGACCATTTAAAATAAAAGTTTAGCGCGATACAAGAATGGGCGTGACTCCATTCTCACAAAGTTAGTCTAGGATCCCATCTAACTTTCATTATAAAATAAAATGTAAATACCAAAAGAAAAGAGGACATGTTGATCAAACAAGCCTCAGAAAGCCACGGGCTACCACCGTGTACCCCAACCCATTATTGTCAATACTCTAAAAGTGCACGCTTTCTAGAGTTTTATTGCTCATCCATGTTTCACTTTACGTGATTACAATTTTAATTAATAGCCGACTCAATCAAATAGACCATACATAAAAATCATACATCAATTTACTTTTAATCTTATTTAGGACAATGGTGATCACATCACAAATTGACCTTTAATTTCATTAAACTTCCAAATTGTTGAACATAGTCAACCCACCTAGCCATTTCGACTTAATCCACTTTTACTCAACATACTAACAAGTCATGCTCGAGTAATAAATAAAATAAATAACAACCTTGTGGAATAATTAATAAATTCATTCCACTTAAACCATTCAATTCCAATCCTTTAATAATCCAAATGTGGTTAACAAACCAATCCAATAAAATATGTTTGTATCAACATTTCATACAAACAATTAATCCAATATAATTCAACATACTTGCATCCATAATTCCATACAAGCATAATTAATTCACGAAAACATGCCTCATAAACATAAATACATGAATTAATTAAATATATAACCAAACAATTTCCATCCAAGTGTTCTCTAATCATGAAACTAAGTTATTTCCTTTTGGTACCTTAACATGATACTACTTGCAACGAAGTAGACATGTACGTACCTCGTATAAACAATCCTTTGTGCCACTTTTAATCACTTAAAAGTCCCCTAGGGAATAATCACCTCCTAGAAAACAACCAATAATCACAAATTAACACTTAAATAAATTTCCAGCAATATAAATTTGATTAAAGGTCCTTAAAACTCCATTAAAAACATGTTTTTATGGTTAATTAATTATTATAAATATAATAGGAACAAAAGCCCCAAATTAAATGCTCATTAGAAACCTAAAATCCCAATTTGATTAAATTAAAACCCTAGGTTTATAAATTATAAAATCTGAAAATGTATAACACAATTAAAATATGAAATTAATACTTTAAACTATCAAAATCATGATTTTGATACTAAAAATATAAACTTTATACTATAAAATCAAAACATAAACAAAATTAATTATTTTAAGCAAAATAAGAAGAACGAAGGGGAGAGAGGAAGGAGCAGCCACGAGGGGGCTTTAGGTTACCGGCGTCAGGTGGCCGGCGGCGGCAGCAAGCACGCCGACAGTGAACAGTGGCAGCGGCAGCAGCGTGAGGCAAATCTCACGTGAAAGAGGAGGAAAGGAAAAAAAAAAAGAAAAAAAAAAAGAAAAAGGAAAAAGAAAAGAAAAAAAATAAAGGAAAAAGAAAAATAAAGGAAAAAGAAATAAAGGAATAAAATAAAGAGAAGAAAGTTTACTAACCTTTTTGTGTGGGGGAAATATTGGGATGTATGGGGTATTTATAGGAGAGAGATTTGTAGGGTAAATAGGAGTATTGGACCTCATAAAAAAATAATGGGCCAATTAGACAAATGAAATGGACTAGCTTTGTTTAATATGTATGGCATAAATTGTAGAATGGACAATTAAAAATTCTTTTTGAACAAAATCAATTATCAACTCAAAAATAATTTGGAACCTTAAAACTTAAATCCCGGAAAAACACACATAAATATTATAAATAAAATAAAAATTCATTTATAATATATTTATAAATACGGGGGATTACATCAGCCCTCCCTCTTCCCCTTAAACCTCCATCCCTGGCCAATTAAGATTTCGTGATTGAATTTCAACCTACATTGGTGAATTGAAAGAGAGAGAAAATGCGTAGATTATCATTGTATTTCTGCATGAACAATCATCTTTCTCTGCCATTACCCCTGAATCTCATGTTGGATTAACATTTGTTGCCAATTTCTCCAACATTTATTTGACTCCTAATAAATTCCTAGTTTCTCAAAATGGGTTTGATTTGGTTCATTTGGATAAGGATTCACAAATAGTATTGCCCATGATCGTAAATTTGATGAATTTGAGGCTGACGTAGAGAAAATTTACTGAATTTTGAGAAAGTTTCATTCTAGGGTTCTACAATTGGAGCTTGCTTTACAAGAATCTGGTAAAATTATGTGTTTTGGGTAAATAGAACGGATATTACACCTGTTTCGGGGTTTTCTGATGTCCTGCGGGAGAGTTACAATTCCGAGACTGGAACCGGACGCCTGTACCTGCAAAACAAACGGATGCTCCGGATGATTGGAGATCCGCCTCCGACGGTCAAGTTAGTACTTGATTAAGGAGTAATTAATGCGGAAATAAAAGTGATTGGGTCTCTCTAGGTGACAGTGTTAAATGTGCGTAATCTCCCTTAATGAGGATTAAGGGAGGTATTTATAACCTTGAGAAACGTGCCAATCCTAGGTTTAGGTTAACCTAGGGCTGATTGGGCTTCCATCGGAAGTTGGGCCTAGGTGGTCGGTTTCTCCATTAGGCATGGAGTATGTCACGTGTCATGACATAATAGGTCCAGGGTGGACGAATAGGCGTGTGCCACGTGGCAAGCCCTGACAGTTCCAACTGGGGGACACTTGGCAGGACCTGATTGGCCCCCGTGGCGCATTCCGATTGGTGGGAGCAAAATCCCCTAATCATTTGCCCCTCACAGGTGGCACGTGACTGGTCACGTGTTACCTGTGACAGGTGTCGCACTGTAACAGGCGACGGCCTGCTACAGGTGTCACTCGGCGAAAGGCCGAGAGATTCTCCCGCCCAAATTTTGAATTTTGGAAGTGACCCTTCGCCTTCTCACATCGCCTATATAAGGGAGTGTTGACTTCAGTCATTTTCACACTTGAGAACTTTTTGAGAGAACATTCGGACCCCTGAACTTGCTCTGACATTTTGGACCCTTTCTGCCTACCGCCTGCTCTGACAAGCCGACTGCACAGGATTTTCAGAACTCCATCAACGTCACTCGTTCAGGTAACCGTCGGTTCTCTTACTCTTAATTTTCTCTTTATTTTATTCTTTTTTGAAATGGCACCACGGAAGCACACGACACGACCTAGGTTAGTGATCAGCCGGTCACCGGGGACGGCTGAATCTAGGACTAGGAGTGTCGCCTGCCCTTTTCCGGACCCATCTTTGCCCTTTATACAAAGTCCGACTGTCTCTGTGTCTATGCAGAACATGATGGCCAAAACAAAAAGAACTGCTAGGATTTCGAACACAGACGGCTCCTCCCACAGGGTGCCGATTAGTGAAACATCTGACCAGGCGCCAGATGTGGAAGTGAACCAAAGCGGCTTGAAAGCCGACAGTTCTGAGGGAGGAGTCAAAGTGACCCCTTCCAATTTTACAGTTGACAAGTCTACATTCTCTCCTGCTCCTTTTAAAGGAGAGGAGGCGGGCCCCTCTGGGAGAGGGGAGGAGTCGTCCTCTTCGGAGTCGTCCTCTTCGGACTCGTCAGAGGACGAATCCAAGTCTAGCTCTTCTGGTCATGCTTCTCTGGACACAGAAGAGAAAAACAGTCGCCTACAAGAGGCGAGGTTTTCTCACGCAGTTGAGAAGGGGGACAATTGGGCGGAGCCATCCGCCTCTTACCGAGAGAAAAATACCCACTACTACTGCACTGTCCCACGGGGCCGGATCACGGCCATGCAAGAGAAAGTGGGGAGTTTTATTGCAAACCACACAATGGGCCCCGGCTTTTTAGTGTTCGTGCCGGATCCAGAAGACACAGTCGTCTGGCCGGCTGGTACTAGCTATGATGGCGCCTGCTTTGGCTGCTACGAGGCGGCCATTAAGGCTGGGCTGCGCTTCTCACTACATCCGGCTGTTCAGCGGATCTTGGATGGGTATGAGTTGGGGTTATGGCAGTTAGCCCCGAACTCCTGGGTCAACGTACTCGGCTATGTGGCCGGGTGCGAACTGCACGGGGTGGAGCCAAACTTCGAGGCTTTTGCCCACATGAACTACCTCAGCCGGACCCCTAAGGCAGGCGGTACTGGCTGGTATCAATTGACAAGCCACAGAGGCTACCTCATGACAAGAGGTAAAGCAAACAAGTGGAAGGACTGGCGAAGCACCTTCCTTATCATTGAGAGTTCAGACACAGAGCTGAACAAGCGCTTCAACAGGTGGAACAGGAATCCGCCTCTTCTTGCAGGCGGCCGCAACATGCCGCCTGTTCCCCCCAAAGCTAAGAAAGAGATCCTGGATAAAGGACTCTTTAAAGTAGAGTCGAGGGTCGACTCTACTTCAGGGGTACGAGAGCAAGTACCCCTGCACTGCGTCCCGAGCTTCAAATGGCTCTACGACGAGTACTTTTTGGCCACCCGTGGCCTCAGCAGTCGGTGCTCAAGAGGTAGCAAGCCTGTTGCATACTCTGTTTTTCCATGCATTACTGTTATGACTTTTTATTAACTTTGCTATTTGTTTT